AGAAGGCTGTGTATGGCTTTAACATGGTGACGGCAGCATACCATGGATTATCTGTAAACTAACGGTCTGGGCTCATGACTGATCTTATTTTGTTGTCTTGTTGCTGGAGTGAGGAGTACAGCCTTAAGCTGTTTTTTAAAAAGAAAAAACAACCAACTTAAACCAGCTTGTTTCTGCCATTCCTTGGTGGTTCACTTTGCTTCCAGGTTAGAAGGCTCCTGTCTTTGGAGGTATCACCATAGCAATGCTCATGGCTAGATTTCCAGCATGGAAAGAAAAGAATGAAATGTGGAAATCCCAAACAAATAGCTTATTTTAAAAGTAATTTTGAAACATCTTGTTTTCTGAAGAACATGGGGATTCATGGAGATGAATCAAAGAATTCTCTATAGTTCCTGAACAAAATGCCTTTCATTTTAGGACTCATCAGTTTGATACATTACCCAGGCACAGGGACTTTACTTAAACATCTTGTTCTATCAGCAAGGAGTCCAGAGCCTGGTGCTAACACAGCTTTCCTGTACTAGGGATTAAATGGGCTTCTGGATTTGCTCTGGCTCTGTTCTTTGTGGGCTGGTACAGGATTATTGCCAATATAATTTCAGTCTATCTAGGTGCTGAAGAGAAAGCAGGAGAAAATAGGAATATCTGCGAGTTTCCTGCTCGGCACCAGAGGCTTACCTGTGTGTCTGTAGGTGCTGCGTTGGCCCAGCTGGGTTGTGGCTGAGGTGCTGAAGCTGAGAGCTCTGGTGTTAGACTGGTCTTTCTGGGAAACCTGGACTGTCGTGTTTGTGATTCTGCTCTGCAGAGCTCCACTGGGGTGGAGTGGTTTCCACTGGTGCCACCCAGCACTGGGACTTGAACCCTGGCACTATGTGGCCCAGGCTATTCCTACAGAAAACATGGCAAAACTCCCACCATCTGCACAGCTGTCTACCTGGCTTGCTTGAAGAAGGCCTGGGAGTAAAACAGCCTCTACTTGCTACTGCTGGAAGGCCAGGGCATGGTGGTGTAGACCTCCTGTGCTTGGTCTTGCTTGGGCTTCACAGTCACTTGCTGACTTCATAGTGCATAACAAGGATGGGGCACCCTGGCCTCTGAAGTGCTGAGGATCAGCAACCTGGTTTTTGGAAGGTGTTTGGGTGCTGGGGGTGAAAAAGGGCCTACAAAGGAAAGGAAAAGGCTCTTCCCTGCTGCGTTTGGCTGGTGCTGGTGAGAAACAAGGTTCAAGATAGCTATCACATCTCTTTCTGTCCCTCACTGAGTAGATATCTTCTGTCCATGTAAGTTAGAAAACCATTTGGTGATGTGCTGGTGTATCTGCTGCTTTTCTGTTGTCCCTTGATGGGTTATCTTGATCCTTTATGGGTTATTAAGGATTAGCTGTGGGGTTTGCTGTAAGGATTAGCTGTGGGGTTTGCTCCCTAGGAAGTATGTTGGGGACAGGTTTGAGGGCAGGAGGTATTTGGGTTAATGCAGACTGTACAATTTGTGGGCACCAACTTGTCATAGCAAGGCTGGGAGAGTTGTGGTGGGAGAGTGTTCCCTTCCCAGCATGGGCTCAGCATTGCTGCGGGGCTGTGGAGCTAGCCTGGCATGGTGGTAGCTAGTCCAGAGATACCTTAATCTCCTGAAAAATGGGGAAAATATTAATCGTGTTCAGCATCTTTATCAATTTAAGTGTGCCCATGTCAGAATACTTAGGTCTTTTGGTTTGCGTGCCCAGTGTACAGCACAGTACGATTTTGCCCTGATGTCAGATTTTAAGTGCTTCACTGTAGCAACTAATGCGTTGTTTCTGTAAACTGCTAAAGGACTGCAGGGGCTGGGCCTCCCAGTTGAAAGCTGCTTTGGCTGACCTATTCTTGGGGCAGGAGAATTGAACTGGTTAACAAACCAGCAAAGCAAGGTTTGCTTTGCTGCAATAAGTTGCAACTATTTATGCACCTTTCCTGCCTACAGAGAAAAGCTAATCCTTTTCTTTCCCTTTTTTCCTTTTTTGTTGCCTAGACTGGAAAGGGAAGTGGAGGGAGGAAAACAGGTGTGACTGCTGGGATGCTTGGGTACCACTGCAGTGAGGTGTGAAGGCATGGAGAAACACTGAGAGCGAGGCACCTGGGTGCTGTTCAGTGCTGCACACGAAGGTCTGAAAGCAGGAATCCAGACTCTGGTTTCTGCTGTCCCTTTGCTGATTTTTTTTCACTTGGGGACATCACCAGGCTGCCATTAAAAATTGCTGCCATCTCGCAGCACTGCGGATTGAGGTCTGGTCTGGGAGATGGAAGACAAGCCTTAGTGGGGCCAGGCTTGCTCTGGGTGTGTGGGTGCTTGTTTACAGGTGGGAGGTTGTGAGAAGATCTGCTGTGACCTGTTTCAAGCACCTGAGAGGAGGAAGAGGGCTGATCCCAGTGAGTAAAAGATCCCTGGATGTGCTTCTGCATCCTGCAGCACAGTGCTCCTCTTTCTCTGAGCTCACTTAGTCCTTTACATATTAAAGGTGTATTAGCAGGGAAGATGGTGCAGGGGAAATAACACAAAGAGGCTTCATGTAGCTAGCAGGAGATATTCACCAGATGTGCTGCTGGGCTGTGTGGCCTACGTGCAGCTGCCCATCATGGATTCATCTCCTGAAGTGCCATGTACTCAGAGTACCAGTCCAGGGGGTACCCTGCAAAACCAAAAAAAAAGCAGTAGTATGTGGAAGGAGAGAGAGAGGGCTCCAAGCTGCTGGTGTGCTGCCTGGACCTCGCTGAGATAGCTCATCTCCCATAAGTAACTCCCTGTTCCTGCCTGAGCAACTGGCAGAGGACTTTGCAGGTTAGGCAGTCTGGCCCCTTATGCATCTCACAGGTAGTCCAAGGGTTCTTGTTTGGAAGAGCAGCTGACTCTCCTCCTACCTTTGTTGTATGTCTTACAACTCTGGGCCACACATGTAACTCATAGGATGAAGAAGGTTGTGTGGAAGCCTTGAGAATGGTTGTGGACATGTCCATCTGTCCTACTGGCTTTGCAGAATGGCAGATGGAGGGGATCTGTGTGCTTGGAGGGACAGGGGAGTGCCAGCGCTCAGAGATGCCCATCCATGTCTCACTCCACGGTGGAGCTGAGGACCCATCTGCCCCAGCCAAACCCCACAGGTCTTGCTCCCAGTGCTCAGACTGCAAATGCTTCAACCTTCCAACCTGCACACAGGTACAGAGTTGCTGCTGGGTTGGTTTGCAAGTAACCCTCCAAGGGTTAATGTATTGTGAAAAGGTTGCAAAGGGCTGAAGCATGGAATCCCCTCGATCCCTTGCCTGGAGAAATACAAAGTCCAATAAGCCAGCACCCCTGGATTCGTGTTGGGGGGGATTAATTCATGCACTTGATGTTAAAGCTTGTCCGAGAGGTTTGCATGGGGGGGCCATCGCTAGGGCTGGTTGGCCTCTCTAAATGGTTGCTAGGGCCCTGGCATCAAGGGCCAATGTAGCTGCCCACAGCCACGGTCACGGAGGGAATTACACAGCCACAAAGAAATTGTTATTCTACATAATCTGCTCTTTGGAGAGTGACTGTGGGGAAACAGGCTGGCCCCAGCATGCCGCCAGCTCTGTGATCATAGAAGCGTGCTGGCTGCAAAGATCGGCCAGGGCTCGCCTTCTGATCTGGGGACACCAGGGCTCGAGGCGCTAATCTGCTTTATCAGCGATTTCTCTCTCCTGACACAAAGGTGTTTACTTGTTTTAACATCTCCCGGGACTCTATTTCTCCTTTTGTGTGGTCTTTATCCCCTGACGAGGGCTTTAGCCCAGATTACAGACAGAATTAAGGCATTTGGCGATGTGCCTCAGAACTGTGTGATGCTGGATCAAGGAGCAGAAAGTAGCAAAATAATGGGGGGAGATGCTGGGAGTGACCCCACTGTGGGACCATGCAGTAGGCTTTCGGGACTGCTTCATTGTCCTGAGAACCAAGGGGTTACCATGCGGCAGGGTTTGAAAAGCAGGTGCTTCGAGGTTTATTGTGTCCAGCATTTTTGATTTAGAAGGTGTGAGGAGAAGGAGGAAGAAAAGGAGGGTTTGCAATAGGTGGCCATCTCAAGCAGCTGGGCAGATTGTCCCCTCCATTCCCAAGAGTTCACTGGCTGCTGGGGCAGGTGGACTGATACTGGGGACGGGCTGTGCTATGTGCCTGATGCAGGGTTCAATTTCATATGGCCCATGGAAGGGATGCAAGTTCCTCGCAGCCTGGCAGGGTGGGGCCCTCACCAGGCACTATCCACCTGGTGAAGTGAGCTGCTGCTTCTGCATGTGAACAAGCAGCAGAATGATATGACCACAAAGCATCTGGCTTAGAGCTTCATGGGGATCTTGCTTTTGATCTTTCACAGCAAGTAAGGAATTAAAAAGGAGGAAGCAGGGAAAGTCATCTCCAGAACAGCCCTGGAGTGGCTGCTCTTGACCTGTCATATTGAGCCCCAGATATGGTGTTTGCAGTGTAACTGGAGGGGGTTGAGGAGAGCAGGCATGGCAGGCTGGGTCAGGAGGGTCTGATTTGCCTGTGGATCTGAGCTGTTTGTCAAAGATATGGGGAAATACCCCACTGGGCAGTATTCTGAAGGACAGAGTCTGGGATGGGATGAGACTGAGTGTGTAAATGGCTATTGCAGATTTTCTGGAGTTTGACTAAGTTGGGAACCATCTGCCATGGAAATGGAACCCCATCATTCAACGTACCGGTCACTTTTTCCAAGGAAGATGATCCTGTTCTGCTGGGGGTCAGCTGTGCCTGTTCCTTGGCTCTTCCCCTTAGAGCTGTGACTCCTACTGGTCACCCTACGTGAGTTAGTGGCCCAACCAGAAGCTGGAGGAGGGGGAGGAAGACCGTGCAGGCTTTTGTGTTCTGTTAAATCACAGAAATGAGATCTAGGAGACTTCTGTGACACCATCTCTGCTCTGGCCTGCTGAATTGGAAGGGCACTCTGCTCAAAATTACTCCTCCCCTATTGTGTTTCATTGCAGTGGTCAGCTGTTGACCTGTTTAGGGACCGACTTCCACCGCGGAGCTGGAGTCCTTGATGTCTTCTACGAAACGCCCTCCCTTCTCCTTTCGTGTGGGTACGACACCTACATCCGCTACTGGGACATCCGGACCAGCACCAGGTGAGCCCAGCCCGCTTCCATCTGGGCCCACGTGAGGCTCCTGGCTCTCCTTCTGCAGTGTCTGGGGACTCACCTGCAGCTGAATTAGCTCCTTCAGGAAAATTGGGCCTCAGCCCCAGTGGTGGAGGAGCAGAAGCTCAGCTCCACTCTGGTTTGTGTTGTCCTTGCAGGAAGTGTGTCCAGGAGTGGGAAGAGCCCCACGACAGCGCCCTGTACTGCATAAGGAGTGATAAGAACCACATGATTGCCAGTGGCTCTTCTTACTATGGCGTGGTGCGCCTCTGGGATAAGCGGCAGACTCGGTGCCTGCAGGTGAGGGCTGGCCAGAGGTTGGGCAGCAGCAGGGCTTCTGGGTTGTTCTCTGGCAGCCAGGTGCCCATGTTTCTTTGGAAGAAGAGCCAGAGGCTGCTGGGCCATCTTTGGAGCAAGCCCACCCTGGGGAACCTAACCTATATGCAGGGAAAAGCCTGCTTTGCTCAGGCATCTCTGCCTTTGGGTCTGTAACACCGGTTGGGGTCTTTGGCCTGACCTCTTCTTTGAAAGGTTGATTCTCCTGTTTTTTTGCAGAGCTTCCACCTGTCTTCACCAACCAGCAGCCCAGTGTACTGCCTCCGTTTCAGTACCACCCATCTGTACGCCGCCCTGGCATCAGCCCTGCACGTCCTAGACTTCACAGCCCCGTGAAGGGCACTACAGCTGCTTCTGGTCACCCCAACTCAGCAGAGTTGACACTTGGCTCAGGGAATCGCAGGGCAGGAGAGGTGAGAATCACCCCAAGGCTTCTGAAGGGATTTTTTTTTTGCCTACCAGAAAGCCACAACAAAGAGTGCACAAAGGGCCAGACTTTCTCAATCTCACCTGCCTATTAGTGGAAATAAAGGCCGATTTGTCCTTTATCCCTTTTTATTTTGTGCAAGTCAGGGTTTGTTTCATAAACTGTGTTCTTTTTTCTTTTTTTTTTTTTTCTATTTTTTCCTGTGGATACAGCATTTGAGGGGCAAGCTGAGCTGGGATGCCCTATCAGCTATGTGTGCTGGTCAGGTTGAGATCAGCCAAGCTCTGAGCCATGTGAAGCAAGTCTAGGCTGTGTGTGCAGTGGACTGATTTGGTGGAAGGGAAAGGTGCCTGGAGGAGGGCCCACCTTTCCCCTGTGCTTGCTCTCCTGACAGCTGTTTACGTTGTCCTTCGCAGCCAAGAGCAAGAATTGAGCTAAAAGGCAGAGCCAGCCCTGCTTTCAGTGTATGCCTCCCCAAGCTGGCCGTCAAGGTTGGGCTGTGCATTTGGCAGGACTGAAATGGTCATCTTTTGCTAAATAAAACTCTGAAGGGGAAGAAAAAGAAAAAGAGACTGTTTGTTTTGTTTCAAGTTCCAAAGGGGCTGCGATGTTACCCACTTGGCTGGATGGAGGAGGTTGGGCCTATTTTCAGACGCTGTCTACATGTCTAATAGATCTCTCTCCCTGGCTAGACCCTGTGACACTGCTGCATTGAAGGCAGTTCCTGAGATCTGGGATCTCATGTTACTTGTTCAAACAAGAAATCAAGAAGTAAGATCTGCAACTTGCTTACTGCCTGCATAAGGAAGCAGCAAACTGGACTAGTGCAAACACCAAGGCCTTGATGTGATTTACTGGAATCCTGTCAGCACATCTAAGTGGGCCCTGCTTCTTTTGGTGTCAGCCTTCTGAACTCGAGCTGGGTCTCAGAACAGCCACAGCTTTCAGCGTGCTCTGTGTTGTCTGGATGAATGTGAATGAATGCAGTGGTGTCTGGGGTCTGGCCTTCCTTGGGGAAGGAGGTGTGTGAACCCTACTTGACTGTGAGTTTGCGTATCCTGGATAGGTAAAGGAGAGGTTCTGTATCCCAGATTGGGAGCACTTCTAGGGCAAAGCACACAGCATGGTCCTTTATTAGAACTTAATAGGTAATTTCCACTGTCAAGAGGCTGCTTTTCCCTTGTGATGCACAAAAATTGGAAGAGGATGCTTGCTGGAGCCCTTGCCTGAGCAGGGAGTGGAACCAACCAGCTCCTCATCTGCTTGAAGGCAACCTTCCATTCCCAGTGGATGTGAGACAGCCGCTCAGGGTTGGAAGTAATCTAAAAGCTTGGCTTTGCTGCAGGATCACATTCTCACAAGGACCTTTCCAGCACAGCTCCCTGTCACAGTTCCTGATCTAGCTCTGCTGCCACTCATGTCTGCTTGCTGCAAGCTCCCTTGTAGCTACCGTGGCACTATGTACTCTCCTTGTGTAAGTGTGGTGATGACTAAGTGCCTCAAGCACCGATCTGCTGCTGTATAAAGATACCATGGCTGTAACAATCTTTTATCAGCTCAAAGCTGTAGACCCCAAAGACTGCTAGTCCAAGACAATGATTCCAGGGGGACCTCTGGGCTATTGGTAACAGTGAGCTGTTGCTTAAGAGGTGGTACTTTGCATCAGGGGCTGCTAAATACCGCTGCTGTATTGCTTGGAGCACTTTGGGCTCTGCATGTGAGGAGAGCTTTAGGTGATTAGGCATGAGGTAGAAGATGAGAGAGAGCTGGCAGAGCTTGGGAGTGGGGGAAGTCTGGTTTTTCTCAGCTCCTGGTGCGTTACAGGTCCTTTAATGAAATTGGGAGGGATGGAGATATTAAATGTCTTTGGTAGTGCCCCCAGGGAGAGGCTGTGAAAGAACTGGAGTAACTGTGGGGTAGGAGGAGAGGTTCTTTATTGCACTGGGACTTGGATAAGGCCCAGAGTAGGAATGACTGTGTCGGCTGAGCAAGTGTCACTGGTGCAGGAGACTCCTCCCGTGACAGCCCTGCCTGCAACACTGCTGCTGCCAGTCCTGCCAGTTCCTTCCTGCAGCCCATGTTGGTGAGTCCCTGCTCTTGTAGCTGATTTTAGGTTCTTCCTGGCTGAAGTGTGGAACAGAGCTGCAGCCCCATGGTGGTGCCAGCCTGGCGGGTAGAAGGATGGACCCTCACATCTCGGGTGACGTTGGGGAATGGGGAAGCTGCAGGTGGGGCTGGAGCGCTGGCTCTGAGCTCTGCCAGTCAATGGTGTCTCCATTTTCTTGGGAGGACAATTCAGGTGAGTCCTGGAGCCACCCAGGCTCTAAGGAGCTTTCCTGGTTTGAAAGCAGCCCTCACCAGGGGAGCTATGCTGGGAGCCCACGACCTGCTTACTTAAAAGTAGGGTTTGAGTAGGAGCTGTTCAAGTACGAACCAGGATGGAAGGACACAGAAATAGAAGCACAGGGATGGCGTGGGCAGGGTAGAGACAGTGGCTGGTTGGAGGCCAAGCTGCTGAAGCAGCACTGCTGGGGTTGTCCTGTGCAGCGAGGTTTGTGATGGGCCCTGTTTGTGCCCTCACGGAAGGAGTGTGCTACTGCTACTCCTGAGCTGGCCAGTGGCCTGTCACCACTTTCCCCTCTGTGCCATGCAAATGAAGGTGCAGCTGCATTTCAGTTCCTGTGCTCTGCACAGACACCCTCTGTCCTGCATGTCATGTTGCGCATGTCTGGCGGTAAGGAAGCAGTTGGGTGTCGTCCTCTTCACCCTATTTCGTAGGCTGTGCCTGTTCAGTTCTAAGCACTGATGCTGTTTGCAGAGATACCAGAGTTGCCAGAGCATCCTTCTAACTGCACAGAGGACCTTGCAAAACAGCACAGGAGGGGACTGGCTTCCCAGCACATCCCAGGCAAGTAATGGGTGTGAGGAGGGGGATCTTATTTTCCAAATGTTACTGCCTTCAGCCATGGTGGCAGACAGAGGGAATTACCCAGCTTTCACATCGCTTCTGCTCACAGATGATGGGGAGAGGGCTGCTGGCTGTGGCACACTTCCTTTGTACCCTACAGCTTCCTGCAACTCATAGAAGGATCATAAATGTCTGCGTAAATCGGCGGATCAGGTAGTAAAGAGATCAACCACCCTGCCGTATCCCTGGGCCTACAAAGATTTCTCCAAACAGCTCTATTAACAGGACTAATTTTTATTAGAAAAGGCAAAATAAATACCACGAAGCTGTGCAAGAGAGCTGCCTCCCACCTCAGCCTCTTAGCAGCCACTGCCTATTGGGTCTTACAGTCGCCATCCCCATTGTTAGCTGCCTTTATCTTCTTCAGCTCCTTCTGTAGCTGCTCTTCTGCAGCCAGGATCTCCTTTGGCTTCTGGTACTGTAGGACGGAGAGAAATGCCCTTAGCACTCCTGTTCAGCCTCTGCTCCAACCAGACCAACTGGGGCCAGGTGCTACCAGCGCAGCTGGGGCCCTCCTGCCAAGGCAGGCCCTTCTGTTACCAGCTGCCTCCCAAGCCTGTTTGGAGAGGTGGTGCCATCAAGCTAGTGACACTTGCCAAGATCTGGAGTGTCTTTTACAGAGCAAGTAAAACTTTCCAGTTGGATGTGGCGTCCTAGTCCCTACCAACCCCTCCGGAATATCCTGGCAAGCTGTGTCATGCAGATTCCTGGTGTGCTCACTGACTGCATGCTCACATGTATGTATCTAATATACTTTTTTTAAAAGGCAGATAGAGAAGTAAGAGTTGCAGTTCCTCTATCCACCCCCTCAGAGCCCTCTTGCCCAGCTGCAGTTTAGTGGTGGATGCAGGTGCTTTTTGGCAAGGGTTTGGCCCGTAGCAAACAGAAGCTCAGAACTCAAGGTGCTCCTCTTGGCCCGTTTCCTCTGCATGTGCACCCCAGCCCTGCTGCAAGGTTTCCCTCAGAGGGGATGCTCTCTGGGTAGCTGACTTCGATGTTTAAGATGAGCACCTGCTGCTCAAAAGCATCTGTCTGCTCCTTGCAACAACACTAAGTGCCTGTTTTGCTAGTCTCTCGCTTCCACCATGTGTGTGGAAGTGTGTCCTCTCTGACACAAAGCAGCAGGTGATTTTTATTTTTTTTTAAGACTGCGAGATCTCTAAGTGCAGCAGGTCCTTGGACTTTTACGCTCTGAGGCAAGAGAACCTCACTGTCCCTGAGAGCGGAAATGTGCTCAGGTCTGACGGAGGGGATACATGGAAAACTGTGCGACAGATGCTCTTCCACCTGCAAGTCACCTTGAGCAGCAAGCAGGGCCCCTCCTGTGGCCCAGGCTGTCCTGGCTAGTGTCAGCATGCCCAGTGTAATCTGAAACTCCCACTGACTGTGTGACAGAGAAGGGGCTCATCAGTGACCCTCAGCAGATCTCCCTGCTCTGCCTCATTTCCCCATGTGTAAGAATTTTAACTTCTTTGTGGACATAAAGAGAAGGGCAAGGAGCTGTTCTGAGTGGCTAAAACCTCACCGTGATGATCAGGGTGTTGTTGGCATGGGTGAAGCTTAGGGCAGCTGCATCTAAGGGGAGCTGGTATCGGTCCAGGTCAGGAATAGAGAACTTCTTGTAGTACCTACAAATGAGAGGAGACAGAAATGAGGAAGGTGGGGTTCCTATTCCCCCACAGTGCTGAGCTACAGAGTGCTGTTCTACAAGGTGTAGATGAGGACAACAGATGTCTCGGGGTTGACAGCAGGACCCTGTGCCATGTTGTGTGCCTGCTGGTGCCTCCAGGCTGGAAGGAGCACTGGAAACAAACCTCCAAACTGGAAATCGAAGCTGGGAAAGTCCTGAAGGGCTTTGGTGCCTGAGAGCAGGTGGCTTGGTCACACCAACTTGCCCTTTAGTAGTGCCAGACATGGTTAGGGACAGACTATTCAGCCTTACCAAAAGGTGTCCCTTGTCCCTGCTCATGGGCTCTCGTTCCCTCTAAGTACCGGTTTCCATTAGCTCTTGTCAAAACAGCTGGCTTTGACAGCTTGTGCCCTGTGACTTACTTTCCTGAGTGCTGCACCATTTTGTGTTGCAATCCTTCCTAAACCCATCTTTTTGGCCTCTTGCTGTGCTTCCTAGATAACTTTCTGCTTTGTTGGCATGGTGGTGCTCAAGGCATACCCCTGGCCACAGAGCTCCAAATGTAGCTGCCCAGACTCACCTGAGGCTCTGCTCTGCAGCATCTCCACACAGCCCTCATGGTGGCTGTGGTGCTCCCCTAGTTGTTCTTTCCCTGGTCTCTATCCCAGTATCCTGGTCACCTCTCACATCCAAGCAGAGGACAGAGAGGTTTCTGCCAGCTCCCTATCCAGCCTGTGTCTCTCCACCAACCAAACCTTGCGCTTTGCTCAGTATGAAGGAAAGGGGATATGTCTCAGAACTAGAAGGGTTATAAACTGTCTAGGCAGCTGAGACATTTCCTAAGACTTTGGGACCAGAACCTTGTAGACCTGTGTCTGTGTTTGCCTGAGACCTTTCCTGCTTGGCATGGCTTGCCCTGCATCTGCTGCTGCTCCTCTCTGGGGCTGCACCAAATACACTAGTTGGTGGTCCTGTGCCCACACAGAGGCACGGTTGGGTTCTTCATCTCTTCCAGCACTCTCGTGGGCAATCCTCTCCAAGGAATTGGCCTGTACCTGGTACTGAGGTGCCCAGAGCAGAGCGGGAACAGGCAGCTGCTGCCGTCCTGCCACGAGAGGCTGTTCTCCATTCAGCTAGCTGTGTGTGAGGCTTGGCCTCTCTAGCTACCTCTGCCTAAATTGCAGTTTATTTTCCAAGTCACAGTGAAAACAGCTACAAAGGGCAAATGGCTCTCCTGGTGCAGCGGGAGGAATGTACGCAGCTTGTTACCGCAGGGCTCAAACCGTTCTGTGTTGTCACTGCTGTTGGTATTTGGAAAAGGTGGCAGACATGGATAATAAGGGAGATGTCAAAGGTTAAACAGCAGAGATTAGATGAACACAAAGACATGTTAAGGAAGTGTTAACTTCTTACCGATTAGACAAAAAAAAAAAAAAAGCAGTACACAGAAAAAACCCACTGTTTCAAAGGGCCTTGGGAGTCATCAATGAAACAGCAGCATTCTGCTGCCCCAGGACTAAGGAGAAGGGGAGAAGAATGGCTTTGGCTGGCCTCAAACTAAAATCTGTGACAAGATCAAAGGAAACCAGATCTGCCTGGCCACCCCCTCCTCCTCCTAACATTACCACTGCGCCTCGCTACAATAATTGAATCAGGTTTGGCGTTTGGGGAGGTGGCTTTCTGGGTTTGTTTTTAGAGTTTAGTTTAATGGATTTATTTTACAGCAAGAGGTTTTAAGCAAATCCCACTTGAGCAGCCCTTGCCGTGGCCAGAGGGAACGGGAGCGACTGGTGGAAGTGAAGAGATGCTGTCTGGGCTGAGGAGGTAGCTGATGGGCAGTTATCCCTGCTGAGGCAGGCACATTCTCTGCCCTTGCCTCTCACCCCATGGCCAAGGGCAGTATTGCACTCTGAGCCTGGGTCCTGGCCTGAGATCTACAGTGCCTATGTGAAGTCACCTCTATTATTTTCCTACTGGAAATGCACTTTTTGTCAGCCTGTAGAGAAAACTGCTACTGGTATGCTGAGAATTTAGAGCTGAGCTACTCAGTTGTGACTTGGCAACCCATCTCATTGCTTGTGCCTCTGGCTGGCGGTCAGCACAGCTCTGTTGCTCAGAAGCAGTGTGGCTGACTTCCAAAGGCTGGAGAGGCTCTGAGGTTTCCTTTCTCTCCCATAGCAATGCTCGCTCTCTCTGTGGACTCCATGCCTTTCTTGCTATCTTGGAATTAGTTGCTGAGAGGTGCCTTGCTCTGGCCGAGACCCAGGAGAAATGATTTAAGATATCCTGGAGCCTGTACTAAGTGTTCTGGTGCTGGAGCCTGTCCCTGCTCCCTACTGACATAAAAGTCATTCTTTTCCCCAGTGAGGCAACTTTCAGCTTTAATTCCAAAAGTCCTTAACTTTCATGTGCAGGCCATGACCTGCTTTCAGGTCCTTCAACTATCTCTGGCACTAGCCTATAAATGTGTAGGTATTGACTGCTTGTGGGGGAAATCTACTGTTTTCCTGAAGAGGAGTATATAAAAACTTGGAAGTCAGAGCATGGGTGAAGCCTGAGTGGTACGTTATAATCTTCCAGCACCTATACAGGCTAGCAAGTTCCCACATAGGCGCTACTATTAGGGAGTAGGTAAGTCTGTGATAGTAGGGGCTTGGACTTAGGCTCACTTACTCCTAGCTGTATGGGTACCCACGTGTGGCTGATGGGAATCTCATTCATCTTTGCCACATACTAAAGCACCACTCTTCTGTGAATCCCTCTGCGTGCATTCAGGCCAGCATCTTTCTGTATTAGAGCTGTAATTGCTTGCTGCTTTCATGGGAAAGACTTCCCCCTTCCTGCCTTGCTTTCTCCCGCTTTTGAGCGTCCAGGTGTGCTCATGTGCAGAGCTGAAACACCCCTTGCACGGCCTCTGATGTGGTAAAGCCCTGCCTGAATATTTGCGGGTTCTGCAGTCCGAAAGGCGTTCGGCGGCCAAAGTGGAGCAGTTCTTTGCCAACAGCACCACCTACAGCCAGCTGCAAAGAGCAGCGCAAAGAGGGCGGGGGGCAGACTGGGAAACACCGGGGTTGATTTTTACCCATGAATCTCATCTTTCTCTGTTCTGCAGCAACGCTGGGGAGGAAAGGCGAGCAGAAAGCAGCCTGCCCAGCTTTCCACGCTGGTGTATTATCCCAGTTTGTAAATAGCTTCCAATATCCTCCCTTGTTCTTCCAAACTCACTCCTTGCTATCTCTTCCCAATACTACTGCTCATCCTGGCTTACCTCACTGAGGCTGTACGTGCTTTGGAGCACAGTGTCTCTCATTCCTAGAGAGAGGCCATGTACTGACACAGTATAAGATGATTCTTAACAGCTCCCCCCCCCCCATCTCAAATTTCTTTTGGCAGAATATTGTGGTGCTTCCTTTCTAGATTCAGTCTGCCTCTTTTTTTCTTGCTACCTCCAGATCATATCATCAGCACTGTGACAGATTTATGCAGGGAGATCTGTCTGCCTGGGTGCCGAAGACTATGCTGTACCTGTTGAATCCTGCAGTTCCATGCATTCTGAGATCAAAGTATCATGTTAGAGGGGAAAGGATGGGATGCTCTAGCTTCAAAAGGTCTAAGGGAGAAACATTTGACAGGGAAAGAACAGTGCAAACACCATGCTATTGGAACTGTAAGATAAATTTGTGAAAGCCAGTGCAGAGCTTGAGGGGCTCTACCATAACTGTGTCTGGGGCAGCTGGGAATGGAAATTGGACAGCTGGAGACATGCAGCTGTGAGGTGTGAGGGACAGAGAGAGAGGACAGCTCCCCTCTGCAATCACTGGCCTGCCCTCTGTGCCAGCCCCACCCCCAGGGACCATCAGCACTGGCAGTGCTGTCCTTACTGACTTCTTGTTGATGGTCCGGATGACACAGCAGCGCTGCTCCTTCTCCACAGAGACGCTGTAGACCTCCTTGGGGTAGGGCAGGTTACGGATCCGCCACTGGAAGCTGGTCAGGGTATCCTTCCTCATGAAGACAGGCTACAGCAAACAAGTACCTTCAGCAAGGCCCCTCCAGCCATCTCCTCCCTGTCCCCTTCTTCCCGTACTACCTCGAGAGGCTCCACATGGGAGCAGCTCTTCTTTCACACTGGATCATTAGGGAGTAACTCAAGAAACTGCCTAAGCACCACTCTTCTAGAGCCTGCTTGTAGGAGGCTGAAAGTGTTCAGCAAGGGAGTCTTGCAGGGAAGTGTTACAGGGAAACCAAGCCCCCTCTTTGAGGCAACTGAATACTGAACTCTGCCTACGCTAGGGACCTGCTGGATTCAGTCCTGGGTCTGCCTCAATTTGCTGTGCAGGGCTGTGCTTGTGTTTCAGGTCTGTAGAAAAGACAGTGAGAGACTAAAACCTCTGTCTCCTAAGCTAGAGGGATGTGAAGATGAAACAGGCCATGCTATGTTAATGAGCAGCCTGCTATGCACTGCCTGCATTGGCCTTTTGCTGTCATCGCCTCTGCTTTCCGTCCGCTGGCTTGTCGTGGCACTGGCCTTCCTTTCAGCCTACTCTTTCAGAAGCCAGAATAGTAGTTGGCCAACACTGCAGTACAGTTTCTCTGCTTAAGGAAACTACACATCTTGTGAAGACCCCAAAAGAACCTAAGCTGTGCCTTTTTTCTACTCAGCCCCACAGCTTTGGGATGATTTGCAGTAGAGTGCTGGGCAGGTTAAGGCTGTCTCTTGGGGCTGCAAGTGATCTATGGTCTTCCAACTACTGCTGTAAGCACAAGAGTAAGTAGTTTTAGGTGCAGTCATGCCTGCAGACCCTTACGTACATTGGAGCTGCTTTCCTTTATGAGCTCGGATTCCAGCGCTCCCAGAAGCGGCGAGGTTGGCTCCCCCACTTCAACCTGCCACTTGCCAGAGCCTCCGAGGGTGTTCTTCTCTCGCCATTTTCTACCTGTGGAAGGGAGAAGAAGGGTTTTCATTATTTTGCTCTGTAAGAACTCCAGCAAATGACTGCCAAGCTGCCCAGCACACTGAGATGATATCAAGATATATATCTTAATTCCAGTCACTTCCACTTTGGTGTGAGTAGAGATGTTAGCTCACCTGTTCCTGAAGTCAGAAATTCTGTACAGAGTGCCTCTCTTTTTTGCTACTTGGTGCTGAAGCCATGGTTAGGTTGCAACAGGTGCCATGCCACAGCTGATGCGGTTTTGGACAAGAGCCATAACCAATGCCTTGCTTGTTTGTGGTTGCAGAAGCCACCAAAAAGCATATTTCACCCCAGCATGTGCTACAGGCTGAGTGTATGGCTATGCAAGATGGCAATCTCATTTAGGTTGCCCGAGTCTGTTGTGACAGACAAGCTCTTTGGGAGAGATCCTGGGCTAAAGCAAGGTCTGCTACACCATGGAAGTCAGAGAGCCCTGGGCCCAAACTGAATGATATTTATGTCTCTACAAAATTCAGCCACAGGCATGCTTATCTCCCAGAATATTTAGGGGGCAAACCAAGAGTTTCCTCTCAACATCCCAGTTCTGTGAATGCAGACCTACTGCCACGCATACGGCAGTCGTGCCCCAACCCACGTCTGCTGGAGGCCAGCTGGGAGCACCACTTACTCATTAACTGACTGGTTTTCATGTCGTACTCTTCAGCCATCTCCTTCCCATCCTCGAACAGGTAATGGATCTTCCGCTTCCCTAGAGGCAAGGCAGGTGGTGAGGGTAAACAGGAATACACCTATCCCTGGGTGTATGACCCTGTCCTACTCCCTGTGGTCCTGTCCCCGTGTCTAGGGCCCCGTCCCACTGGGGCCGTGTCCCCGCGTGGATGGCCTTGTGCCCTTTGCTGGGGCCCTGTCCCGGATGCAGGGCCGTCCCCGGCAGCGCTCCCACCCCCCGCTCGCTGCAGGGCCACCCCAAAACACGTCGCGGGGGACAGGAGGGGGCGATTCCCCCCCTCGCCGCTGCGGTTACCGTCCTGCACCAGCGCGGTCTTCCTC